AGACACCCGGTCATATCCCTTGTACCAGTTAACGATTATAAAGTACTATGAACTAATAAGATGTGTCACTACATATGACATTATTCTTATGGTAATGATAAAAGGTACGAAAATAAATGATCTAATGTTTCATGACGCCACGGTTTTGATCACGTTATCGCCATTTTAATCTTTTATATGTGGCACCTAAATAAACAAAATAAATGGCACCCAATTAACTCAAATTTTACGATGACAGGACTGCTTTCATTACTCTCGGTAATTCAACCCAATCATCGAAGTATCAGCCCAAAACATTGCACGTTCTATGCTGTTTTCTGTATGTTATAGTAAGATGTATAGTAAAGGTGATTTCAGTTCTTACAATAGGCTGTAGCCGACATGCAAGTTTACCAGAATTAATATGTTTATTTAAAACCTTCACAAGATTTACTAGCCCCAGTGCATCTATCCTCCTTTGTTTGAAAATTTAGCGAACATAATAATTATAAAAATATTTTAAAAAAACCTTCCGACGACCACATAACAGAATCTGTTTATGCGGTGAAATATTGCAACGTCTAGAAGCTTTTTTATGGAAATCTGCAATAGAATCTTACATTTCCTAGATGGGAATAGAAAAAACAATAGATCACGCGCGATCGAGGTCATATTGGGCAAATAAGAGAATGCAATAGCAGACATCTTCAAGGGCTCTCAGGAAAATTCCTTGGTAGGTCTGAGGAGAATTTCATGTTTATCACACTCTTTTCCAACTAATCTGTGAGCAAGCGATCCACACAATGAGCGGTACACTCTGTTCGGTGCAAGGAGCGAATTTTATACAAGCGCTAATGTCTTCTTTGAGTATGCCGCAAGTAAGTATATCACCAAAACAACTCAAGATCCAAAAATAAAAACCGATGGCGCTGCAGAATAATAAGGTAACTTCTACAATGTACTGTAATTTGTACAATAATACTCATACTACTCATATTACTTTAAACAATCGTCACATCGGTCAAAGCTTGTTACGATTGCCTGAACAATGCGTAAAGAGCAAATCGAAACATTTAACGTCGCGTGAAAGTGGAATTTAATCAAGGCCTAAATACTTTTTCGTAGCCTTTTGTTTTCGGATTTGAAAGATCGTCGGTTGCAGTGGCTTGCTTACTGAGCAGAAAAACGCGGTCCCAGGTTCTTTCATAATAAAAATGTATGGTAAGATCGCTTGTTTATCGTGTATTTTGCTAAACCTTTCGTTGTCGTCGGTGCCGGGTTTGAATAGTTATAACAACTTGAGTAACGGTATGATGTGATATGAGGGGATCGGTGGCCTTAGAGCAACCATTTTTGCTTACTGAGCAGAACATCCTGAGTCTAATCTCAAGCCCATCCACATCAAGATTCGTCAATCGTTTTATTTGTTAACATGACTACATGGTAATAACAGCAACTCGATGATTAAAAAGGAGCTTCCCTAATAAACGGGTACCATACTCTAACGATATCATAGATGGTACGACTATCCCACATAAAGTTGGGATGATATCCCGAATTGGTGGTTAGGCGCATCTTATGGTTTTTGTTTGTTTATGCGGGTTGTTTGCCTAGTAGCAAACATTTTTGCTTACTGAGCAGAAGACCGTGGGTTCAATCCCATACTCCTTCACGTTATACGATCGTTAGGACATCAATTCAGCTTATCGTTTACCAAAACGAACCCTGCTGCAAACCTAACCCTCTTATCCAACATCCCAGTGATTCCTCGTGGAAGTGCAGAGGACTCCTCGGCTTCCATCAAAGCGAGTGTCACGTCAACACATTCCTACCCATTCTTTTCTTGACCTGCGTTCAGGCGCGGCTGGCGCTGGTATTGCCTAATTCGAGATCACCAGTTTTTACACATTGAGGATGATTGCTAGTCCCAAGCATCGTCTGTTGGTTCTCTGTGTAATTACAGCTGGTCTGGCAATAACAGAGTAGCAACCGTGGGCGGTCAATCATTCTTTGCAGACTTTGCACACCGACAAACCGACATGAAACTTAAACTGAACTCTTGACACATTTTTCGCGAACACGGCGGCAGATGTCAGTTTTGTGCTTCGATCTGAAATTTGATGGTACTTTGTATGGTCATTCATGTCGGTTTGTCGGTGCTTTGCGCTCTTTGCGTCGGAGCCGTAAGAGCGATGGCTACACATTGAGCTTTCGTTATTTCTAAGTGGGTGTCTGTCTTCTCTTCTCCGTTGCTTTACACTTGCGCAGAGTGAAAGACAAGCAAACTTTGTGTTTGCTTGATTCTCACTTTGTTTATTTCAGAAAATAAGTCCATTGCGCGCATTGAGTGATCAGATGACAGCCCTGCATGTCAATATCACAGGTATAACAATGAAACTACAACGTACAAAATGGGAAACTACCTAACTAATAATAACCCAAGAATTAAGTAAATAAAAATCCCCAAAGGCTTGGTAGCCATAATGATGAATTAATTAAATTGGGTTGTTAGTGGAATGTTTAAATGAAACAGATTGTTTTATATTCCTAGAGAAATTAAATGAACCTAAATTCTGAAAAAAGCTCCCATGGAACTCCGAAGAGAACCTCATGGGAATTCCAAAAAAATCGAGGGAGCTTCTGAAACATGTATGAATTCTAGGACGACAGAGTTCTAAGAATTCTAAGATTATTATGAGGCAGTTCTGAGGAGGATTGCAAGGAAATTTTAGGTGAATTCCAAGTGAATTATGAAATATAAAAATTATTCGGAGTCTTGCGAGAATTCTGTGTCTGTCTGTCTGTCTGTCTGTCTGTCTGTCTGTCTGTCTGTCTGTCTGTCTGTCTGCCTGAGAGAAGTAAGTGAGTGATAGAGATTTATAAAATTAATGTATCAAAGGGGACGGTCCCGGCTCAATGGTTAACATCCATATCACTCACGCCAAAGTCACAAGTTAAAATCACATACCCGGACGAGTAACGAATGACCCAAGAGTGCCTAATAAATATTGGAATGGAGTGTTCTACTGTGAATATAACTATTTTTTTTGGGTTTCGGCTTGGCAGCCCTATATACTCTAAACAGAACGAAATTGTTGTAGTTTGTCCCAGAGTTGAAACGTAGGGACGAACTAAAACAATTTCGTTGTGATAAGAGTTTATAGGAATGCGAAGCCCAAGCCCAAAAATCAAGTGCCTAATAAAAAAAATGTAATTGATGAAATTTTCCCGAGCAACGCCTAGGGAATTTAGCTAGCATTAATATTGTAAATAACTTTTATATAAACTGATCCCAGAATTATAGAAAGATAAACGATTCAAAGTTAATAAACTTCAATACTTGGCCTCTAAATCTCAATAATATGAGGCAATTATTATTGACCTATACTGGCTATAATCCCATATGGATATGGCAGTCGAAGTTACGAAGTGCAATTTCCATGTAAATATTTGACAAAAAACAGTAAATCAATTGATATTTTTTTCAAGTTAAAATCTGTTGCAGTGAAGCTTGCATGTTTTATTATACCAGCAAAAAATATGGCAATTTAAAAAGCAGACCTTTAACTTGAACTATGGGCGATTGAATTTCAGGATGGGACTGATTATTTTGCTTGATGGGACAAACTGACCTGATGTTGTATTCAAATTTTTCATGATCAAAATCCATAGTTTTTTCACATAATATGAAAGTAGATGCCAATTGATAGTGAATAGCGTTGTTATCTCAAAATTGACGAAAATCCATATGGGTCTGATATGCGATTATAGATGATGTTTTTCATTGAAAAATTCATCAGTAATATGATTTTTTAATTCATTGGAAAATTACGCCGATGTTGTTGAATAGTGAACCAAATTCTGACACTGTGACCGTAAATCGCAGTTATCCAGTGTAACAAAATATCAAAATATCACCCCACACGACGTTAAGCTACAAATCATGACCTTTCTCCTCATCCATTCAGATACCCGTAGAAATTCACACACCCTAGTAAGCTTATCTTTCTAAATGCAATAGTAGAAACCTACTTTGATTTTAACAGCTCACTTGAAAGATAAGCTATCGATATCGAAACAGCAAAATCCAAGGCCATATTATTCACGGCTGCCTTTTTCACCGAGTTCTTGGTGGTACGAGCATATAACGGAGCTTCTACATTCTATGATTTCCAGTTTCCTGCCTCATAACATCAATTACCAACCACCTACATAAACCTCATCCCACGAAAGCTAGAATGCATTGCAAGAGCAAGTTTGTGCTGATGGAGATGTAAGCAAGCACTAGAAGTTTGTAGAGCAGATGTTGTTAACACCTCTCTTCCACCTCCATTATTATCTATTGAATACTATCGAAATCGTGCCTTCAGTTCGTTTGCATACTTTACATTTACCCACAAGCGAACAGATCTCAACACTTGAAAACTTTGAGTGCGGCCTCAAGCAACGTTCACCAAGAATCTATCAGCCCTAGATTGGTAGTTAATCTACCGTCATTTTTCATTGTACCATGGAATGAAATCGGTCAACGTTTACAGTTATTTGGTTATCAAGTGACTTTTACAACAAATACTGGTAGTCATCTAGGTAGTGAATTTCTTCTTCGTCACGTTTCAATGATTGGAAAAGTTATGCTTCTGGCCCGAGAGGAGATATGCCGAGAGAATTTTTCTCTCCACCACCCACTACACTGAACCCACATTGACTGAACGACCGACGACAGTAACAGAAGAATACATAAACCGAAAAGAAAAATCAGCCCAACCTCATCGGTGTCAAGTGTGCGATGCTCACTTGAATTTTCAAGTTCCAACGCTCTTTCCAGTTCAAGTTTATCTTCCTCTAACCCGCACACGAAGTGCCATTTCGTGAGTATGTGAGCGGGCGCGCGATAATCATCAACCGACAACACGTGGAGCGAAGATAGGTCGCGGCAAGAAACGCTCTTCTAATCGAGAAACAAAAGTCGAGTAGATTGCCGACGATGCGGCCGGCGCTGCCGCCATTGCATACACACTTACCACTAATGAGCGAGCTGCGCCAACTGCTTGTGCTCACTTGCGAGAAGCTTGGATCGTCTTATCTGTTGCGATGCTGCGAACTGTAGAATCTGTAATCAGGAGAACAAAAAGATTGATTAGTTCGGTGGGTAATGAGCGGCTGCAGAGTGGACGTCACGGCTCACGAGGTCGATGGGAATTTGCGTTTTTGACGGGCAGTCAAAACGCAAAAAGGGTAGGTAATTGAGATTGATAATATAAGTGTATAGTATAGCAAAAGAATAGCTATTTCTTCCCAAACATACCCACTAAAGTTATCGAAATTTAAGGTCACACGCGATTTTTAAAGCAAGATTGCAGCATATTGAAAGACACCAGAATTGTATGCTGATAACATTCTTCTCAATTCCCGGCAATACAATACCCATCCGATCACCTAGATTACATACACCTAAATTTTAAAGACCTGGTTTTGTCCATAACTACTATGTCTTAAAAAATGTCCAGTTTATGAGCAACACCTTATTCAGCCATTCTAAAAGGATATAGTGGTTTATAGTGATTCTCAGAATTTCGTAAAAATTGGTAGTAACCATTTCCATGTTAGCGTGGTCCAAAAAACCGATCCTGGGATTCAGCCCTAAGACATCCTCAGAAGAACCCCAAGGGAGTTTTTGTTTAGAGAATTCCATGGTAATTCTAAGGAGAATTGTATCGGGATTATTAGGAGAATAGCAGGTGAATTTTAGGGAGAATTTAAAGAGAATTATAATTAAAATTTAAAGGGTGTTCTGGGATACTGAGAAGATTCAGAAAAGAATTTCAATGAAGTTCCGAGAAATATACCAAAGAAATCGTATTTTGAGGTTCATTTAAAAAAAAATGAAGGAGAACTTGAAATAAATTCATACAAAATTCCGTAGAAAAAGGTATTCTGATGAGAATTCCCAAAAATATCTGAGGTGAGTTTTGCGTAAACTTCAAAGACCTTTTTGAAATAGTGTCAAACAGACCTGTCATGGTGGTTACACATGGTTACTCTATGTGTAACCAGCTCCGAAAATCAACTATTATTAATAATATTGTTTTAAGTAAATATATACTGGGCGCAGAAATATTGACTACAATCGCTACTCTTATAAAAGCTGCGCTCGGAAATACATACATGAATAGTTGGACGCCTTATGATTAAAATTGCGCTGAATACATACACCATGAGAAATGTTCTGTCTTCAGCTAGCTTCAATCTGATTCAATTGTTGCAACTTTGAAGAAGTTCTGAAAGGCTGAGAATTACAAGAAAATTTCATAAACAAATTGCGATAACATAACGCGAGCAGGAGAAAATAACTTATTAATACCAGGTATGAAAATAGGATAACTGTCAATCAAAATTTGGTATTGACGAGCCTGGAATGAATATCTCGATAGAGGAAAAATACCAAAAAATAATACCAAAAAAATGTTCCCAAAATGCCATTCCAATACCAAATTATGATAATGAAATACCAAAACAATATAATTTTGGTATCCAAATATCAATTTTTGTTATTTATAAAGTATTTTGCATGCAATTTTGAAGTATTATTCTTTGGTATTTTACCTCTTATGTCATGCTGATCAATACCAAATTTTGGTATCAGATCAAAATTAGGTATTCATTAGTTATTTTCTCCTGCTCAGGAATACCATTCCAATACCATTCTAATACAAAATTATGGTAATACAATACCAAAACAATGCCATACAGGTATTCTTTTGGCATACAAATATCAATTTTTGTTATTTACAAAGTATTTTGCATGTAATTTTTTGGTATTATTCTTTGGTATTTTACCTTTCCCGAGTAGGAACCGATAGCTAGTCGATAACAAATGAATATCTGTATGATACCAGTTTTTGTATGCTTGTGGTATAAAACCTTGTTTTGATATTATTCAGTTATCGAAATATTTTGTAAAATATCAAATGAGTACCTATATAGCAAAATGTGATCTTTCAGTTTTTAGACAATAACACATAATAACAAACTATGGTATTCCAGCATCTAAAAAAGCGTCTGTTATCCGTTTGTTATTGTTATAACTAAGTTATTTATTAGTTCGTTATTCGAATATTTTTGAGGTATTATTTTTGGTATTTTACCTCTTATGGCAGCCTCACTAATACCATATTTAGGTTGCCAGTTATGCCATTTTCATACCTGAATTTGGTATTAATAAGTTATTTTTTCCTGCTCGGGTTATGTCATGCTGGTCAATAATACCAAAAAAATTGCATGCAAAATACATTGTAAATAACAAAAAACGTTATTTGGATACCAAAAGAATACATGTGTGGGTATTGCATTTTCATAATTTGGCATTGGAATGATATTGTTGGAACATTTTATGGCATTATTTTTTAGAATTTTACCCTTATGTCAGGCTCATCTATACCAATTTAGGGTATCGAGATATTCGTTCCTACTCGGGCAGTTCCGAAAAATTCTGAAATATTTTGGAAACTTCAGGGAAAAACTTCAAGGCGGTTCCATTTGCTTAAGGAAAACTTCAGAAAGTTTTAAGAAGATTTGAGTACTTAAGGAATAATCAGAGAACTTCAAGGAAGCCAAGACAACTTCAGAGATCTAGAGAAAACTTTATGAAGAGATAAAATTGTGTATTGTTTAAAGAAGTTCAAAGTACCTCAGAGAAGCTAGGTCTAGAGATCTTTGAGAAGTTTCAGAGAGCTTATGGGCAGTTCCACAAGAAATTTAAGACTTTCGGTGAAGTTTTAAGATTTGCAAACGTTTTATTTAGATAAATGAACAGTTCCATAAACTTCAGGAAAATTTCAAGAACCCTGAAAAAGTTCCGGCAATTTGAAGGTAGCTCAGAGATCTTCAGAGAACTTAAGAAAACTTCAATGAAACTTCGAGAACATCACAGAAGTCCAAAGAACATCAGGGCGGGGCGCGCACATCTAAGAAATCAATGAGTAACCAGCTTTAATTTTACCATGACAGTACTGGTGTCAAAGCAATCTAATCCTCGGTCTAGTTTTAAAGAAATTTGAAGTGGTATTCAAAGGGAATTTTTACTAGAGTTTCAAAAGAATTCCGGGGAAGTTTTTTTTTTACTTGATTAGTTTCAAAAGAATTCCAGGGTAGTTACGAGAAGAGTTCCAATAGTATTTTCTGATAATTATGAGTAGAATTCAAAGGAAAAACCATGGATATTCTGAAAACATTCTGAGAAAAAAAAAATCCGGTCCGAATGTCACATGTCTCCGGTTTCTTGAATATGTTTCTTAAAGATATGCACTACATCGGGATTGGAATTGACTATTTTCCCAAAGAATCCGGATATCTGTAAGGGTATTTTATGGCCATCGGGAGATCGAATCAATATGGTGCTGAGATAATATCTCTATTTTGCTCAGGATTCTTCAGGGAAGTTACGAGAACTACAAGAAAGTCAAGACTTTCGGTGAAGTTTTAAGATCTGTAAGCGTTTTATTTAGATAAATTTAGACCAGTTCCATAAACTTCAGGAAAATTTCAAGAACCACAAAAAAGTTCGGGCAATTTGAAGGTAGCTCAAAGATCTTCAGAGAACTTAAGAAAACTTCAATGAAACTTCGAGAACATTCCATACTTTCAGGAAAATACCAAGAACTTCAGGCCAATTGAGAGAACCTTAGGGATGCTCCGGGATCATTAAAACATATCAAAGAATTTAAGGGCAGTTCAATAAATTTCAAGTAAATAGCAGGAATTTTGAAATAGGAAGGAATTTACGAAGCTCCAAGAGTTTAATTAAAATTTTGAAATGAAACATGCACATCAGGGGGCCTCCCTTAGCTCAGTCGGTAAAGGCGCAGCTACAAAGCAAGACAATGCTGGAGGTGGCTGGGTTCCATTCCCGTTCTGGTCTAGGAATTTTTCGGATTGGAAAATTTCTCGACATCCCTGGGCAAGTATGATTGGACTTGCCACTCAATTATACCAATGCAAATATGGTACAGGCATCGAAAGCTCTTAATTAATAACTGTGGAAGTGCATCTAGAACACTAAGTTGAGAGCACGCAATAAGCTAATATGCGATATGCAATAAGCTTTAAATGCGAAGAAGAAGAAGAAGAAGAATGCACATCAGGAAATTGTGAGCACATTTTAAGGGAATTCCGTGGTTTTTTATGGTAGTTCCAAGATCTTCGAAACAAAGTAGGAACCTCAGCGAAGATCAGTACAATTCTGAAAAGTTAAGAGATTTTTATGAAGTTTCATTATATTCAGGGTTCAATACTGAGTTGTAAGGAGGATCAGAGATCTTCGCAGTTCCATTAATTAAAGTAAAATTGCAGGAAGTTGCAAGGACTTCAAGGGCGATTAGAGATTTTCAGAGCAGTTCCATCAATTTAAGGAAAATTGCAAGAAGTTTCATGGAGTTGCAAGGAATTACGAGATATTCCGAGAATTTAGAAAACTGCATGGATATAGATATCCAGCACTTCAAGAAAAAAGTAGCGTTCGAACAGTTTTCAAAACTTAAAAAATACGGGAACTTCAAGGAATATTAAAAAACTTCAAGGCAATCAAATTATCTTCAGTATAATTTCGGAAACTTTCAAAATACACGGATAAATTCAAAGAAGTCCAGAAAACTTAAGGGTAGTCCAAAGATCTTTCTGATAGTTGATCGAAAGCAAAATAAACATCACGAAAGTCACTATTGGGGAAATTTCAAATGATGATGAATTGGTTTCTATGATTTTAGGGCAGTTTCATGAGCTTCAGGGAAGTTTGAGAACTTGAGTGATAGTCATAGAACAACATTTATTATTTCGTTTTAATTTCAGGAAAATAGCGGCGACTTACAGAAGTTCAAAATAATTGAGGAAATCTCAAAGAACTCAAGGGAAGTAACGAAATTTTCAGAAAAAAACTGCGGGAGTTTCACAAAATTCCAGCCAACATAAGGAAAGATCAGAAAATTACAGGGACATCCGGAGAACATCAGGAAAATGGAAAAAAAAAACATTTAAAATAAGTTCCGTATGCTTCAGGGCTGTTTCGAGAATGATGAGACTAGCCAATTGGCTAAAAATTTCAATAAT